CCGAAAAAAAACCCCCCACACCTCAATATTAGACCCATACCTTGCACCTGCCGCCTCAAAAATGTCTGCCCACTGATCAGGGTCGTAAAAGGTAGCTTGGAAATGAGGGGCAAAGTCAGCATAAGTAAAACCTGGAGGGTAATTGTCCTTCATGAATTTCACAAACAAAGGTGTTTTGGTTTTCCACCAGTACCAAAACCATGGCGATTCATATGTCGCGGGTACCGAGAACACTCCCCAGTGTATGAATATTCCTATTTTTGCTTCATCGAACCAACTGGGTAAAGGTCTAGAGTCTATCGACTTCCAGTTTGCTTCGTATCTGGTTGCAGAGATGAAAGCAAATACACACAGCAAGCATAGTGAAAGTAACACAACGTCCCTCATCATTAATTGCTCCAATGTAAACAATCACATGACGGCGGGTCATGGACTGCTGAGTCTGCTAAACGCTTCAAAATAGTAATCGAGGTCACTTCACCTTTTGTCGTCAACCAATCAACGAGTTCGTTACAAAATTTGTTCGCTTGACGATAACATTGCAATTGGCAAGCACGTGAAGTTTATGTCCAGTTTTATTGCGATGAAATTCACACCCGTTTTAGTGTAACACAACGTATTTGACAGGTAGGTGGTAGGTACCATCATTTAAAAACATTGTACATGTTTGATTTCGTTAGATATCTGGCAAGCGGGCATCTGTAGGATAATTTGCGCACAGCAAGTTAGCTACTTTCGGCTGAGCTGTGAACATTGGTCACATCTTGGCTCCTGCACATGGAACTGTCCTTTCCACTGTTAACACGGATCCCTCTTCGCGGATATATATTTTCAGGACTTAATTTACATTACAGCTGCTTGCCTTTTGGCATCATATCACATTCGTGTTTTGACAAATTAGCTCGAGTGCCCTGCACGGAATTAGATTATCCAAGTCCGTGCCTACAGTAAGGCCATGAAACCAGATTTGACATTTTGACATATCTCAAAACCAGGAATTTCCTTATTTATGACATTTGATAAGGATGCAAAGATTCTTGTGTATTGGCAAAAAAAAATGCAATGGTAGAATGTGTACGGATATTGAAATTCCGAAGTACTCGGGTAGTCCTATAGCTAACTACCTATCTCCTTTTAATAAAAAGATCTCTGCACCATAAGTTCATGACTCTGCACCATCAAACATTATTTTAAAAAGAGCCAATTAAGAAAAAAATATTGTTTTGGTCCGTTCCAGTTTAACATGTTATGAGATAGTGTTTTCTAGCTGTCAACTGGTTTGAAGAGTCTGATCGAGGAAACTTGTATTCTACATCCCATAGGGAAATTACTTGGTTTTTCAGTAATTCAAAGTGGATGCCTTATTGTATTTCTATCTATTAATCTATATGTTTATACTCCATAGAGACCAGAATGGCTTCAATGTTATTTCATTGCTTGTTTGTAATATTATTTATCGAATATTGCATTCTTCATAATACAGAAAATAATTAAATTGTGTGCCCAAATAGTTTTTCAATGGATTTATAATCGCTGACATATCTAATTTATGTGATGCACGTATGTCTGTGATTTGTCATATAATTGGAAGTACATGGAATTCTTCATCAAGTCCATTAAAACGGTGCAATATAATAGTTGTGTAAATCTACCAGAGCAGTTTTATAAATCCATATATAGGTATCTGCCTTGGAAAAAAGGGGGATATATTATGCAAATTATGGTATGTGTTTGAGACAGACACCTATGATGGATCTGTAAATTCTCTATAACATGAACCATTCTGAAAAACTCCCCTTAAAATTGTGTTGATATGGCACATCCTTAAATGACCATAGCGGTAAATAAGACGTAAAACACAAACATACAAAACCAGAGGTGTTGGAGCTTAACATTTACTTTCAGGTAATTTTCCTTAGTTGGTGCTTCAATGCATTCAAAACACTGACTTCTTTATTTGCTAATGCAATGTATTGTCTTGATTATAGATATGAAACATCAATAACAGCATCAGTTGGATAATGGCCGAGAAGAAGCCAGACCTCCCCAGGGGCCTAATAGGACGCACAGGTGTGCCAACAGGGAGAGGGACAAGGTGAGCGATTTAGGGGACATTTAATCCTTTAGAGTCAGTAGTAATTTAGAGATTATGGACTCTAAGTGAAGTGGAGCCAGATATGAAAAATTTAGAAGGCTTATTAAAATTTTGTGGAGAGAGAAACCTATAATAATCAGGTCCATTACACTCTGCCGATTGAGCTATATAGCTATATTCACCTATAAATTATAGCTGTATTGAGCTATAATTTCTCAGATTGCAATTTTCATTAAATCAAAGCAAAGTCGCATAAAACAATAAGGTTTATGGTAATGTTGACTACAAAAAGTATGCATTTAGATGTTTATTTTCATTTTTCATCAATGTAAAATTTCCGATTTTTTTACATCATTATTTTTCAAAAAGAATACTTATATTTAATGTCTTTTGTTATCAGCCTAATGATAAAATCTTCTTTTAAAAGCGACTTTGTTTCGTTTATCTTCAAAAACAAAATCACATGAAAATAGCTCAAAAGATCTATTTCAGATAGGTCAATAGAGCTAATATAGGTCTTTACAGCTATATAGGTCTTTACAGCTATATAGCTCAATTGGCAGAGTGTACTGGACCTGATAATGTGCAGGAGTTGTTTTTTTTTTAAAAAAATGCAAGATTAATCTCTGAGCAAGGAATTGATAGCTATTATTTTTGCATATTTCACTGACATATCTTTGTTTTTAAAGTCAACTAAAAAACGATTTATTAGATAACTGTCAAATTACATAGCATCATGACTTGACCCTCAAAAGACTATATGCTTGAGGATTTTGCGTAATTACAGATTACCATCAATTAGAGGTCCAAGAGACTTGACTCTTGGTGGAATTCCGAAGAAAGTGTTCACTCCTACAATCCCTGCAGGCAGACGAGACAAGACTAAAGACAGGTATATAATTATATACATTATGTATATATAGTATAGTAATATTTGTTACCAATATCTAGTGATGGATAAATCATAATAATTATGTAATGCTCCAGTTAGACTGCATACATGCTTGAAATCTACATGTAAATTTTAGTGAATTATATGTGTAAGAGTAAAAAAGTTTGTGAACCAGCTGGCATTATACAGCTGTAAGAAATACTTTGCATACAACTTCAGAAAACCATGGACTGTGTCGGCTTTGAAGATAAGTAAAAATCATCAGAATGCTTGCCTTCTGAAGTTCATTCACTGTTCATGTAAGTCCCATGTGATGGCATATTGATATCTCCACAAAACAAAAAAGTCACACATGAACTGCTTGGTCACCATTCAAATGAATAGTGTTCGAAATTAACACTCGATAACATTCTACTCCCCCCCCC